CTCTACCTGGCAACAGAGTGAGACTCTGACTCAAAAATAAGCATAAATGAACGGAATGAGTCAGATGAAGTAAACTAAATAGCAGCGGATGGCACAGGGGCGCCCACCTGTCATGCGCAACAAGGAGGAGGGCCAGTCCAGCGTGCACAGCCACCGATGGGAGAGCCCCCCAACACCACCCGACTCGGAAAGCCACGGCGCCGTGCGCTCCAAGGCCTAGTTCCCCAAGACAGAGCACTGTTTGGTGCCCGTCCACGGCCGCGCGCGGTCCTCCTCTGGGTGAGCCCTTCTCGGGACACCCGCCCCGGGAAGCGTCTGCCATGCTCCTCCGGAAGCCACGGGTGGCGGGGCTGTGGCCTCTCGCACGCCGTGTGGGAGGAGGGGCAGCAGGCGGCCCACGCAACCTAGACTGTGCACCTGGGCGCGCCCAAGGCGCGACAGAGAGCCGCCCCAAACGAAACTGAGGCTGCTGCTTTAAAATCGTTTGGGGAAGCTGCGTGTGCGGCGGCGGTGCGGCCGGGTGCAGGTCTTGAGGAGGAGGAGGGAGGAGAGGAGGAGGAGGAGGGTTGGAGGAGGCAGAAGAGAGGAGAACGGTAGGTTGGATCTGGGAGTGAAATCTAGGAAAAAAACGCTCTGGAAGGGTACAGGTGCATTCCCGCACCGACCACAGGTTTCCTGCTGATAAGTTCATTGGAGAGACGGCCCGGGGAAAGAAACGTCCAGCGCGCCGGCTGGCTGCGAGTCGAATTGCCTGTTAGACGCCCAGCGGACCCTGCCAGAGCACGGTGACCCGGCTTGCGAGTACCTTACAATGCTCCGCCCGGACGGGTCACGGCCGGCCTAGAACCGGCTCAAGCCGGGTGTAAAGACATGCACACGATGACAACAGCACGCACGAGGATGTAGCAAGCCATGCATATGATGTAAACATGCAACAGATGTAAACAGCACACGGACCCGTAAAAGCACACAGCCACAAACATAAAACCACACGACACACATAAAACACCGACCAACGTACAACATGACATGACGTAAAACATCAATGGATTTTAAACGCAGATATGCGACCGGAGATCATGCATTGTTCCACGATGTACCTAACAATGCACACGCGATGTGACAAAACGGTGCACACACGTAAACGACCACGATGATACATCGCACACCGATCGTGATACTACAGCCTGCGACGGGCGCGATGCAACGACACACATGCAGCCCGCATGTATAACATCACACGAGCGCGCATCAACATGGCACACGATGTTCAGTAAGACATGCACACGATGTGTAACACTTGCACATGTCTATAACATGCACACGATGCAAAACGATGCACAGTGGATGTACTAGACAGTGCACAGATGCATAACAGTTGCACACGATGCATAACATGCAGCACGACTGGCTATAACATGCACATGATGTGGTAACACTGCAGCATCAAGCCTCGCGTCTGAGCAAAACCCCAGGGGGACCGCGCAGGCACAAAGCGGTGCCATTGTTGGACCAGCACGGTGGCACAGCAGGCGGCAGATGTGGGGAGTCCGAGTATAATGCTAGTCTAAGTGAGCTCGGGGGTGGCCTAACCACACAACAAAACTGCCATGGGACTGCGGCTAGAGCGCGGGGCGGGCGGATGGTGGCGCGGTGCGACCGGCAACACAACCGCGTCCCGTATCCAGACCGGAGTTCCGCGATCCACATCCAGAGTCAGAGCTGGCGGCACGCTGGAGACAGAGTACCACACCTGTCACCTGGCCAGTGACAGCTCTCATGCAGGGGGGAGGGAGTTGGGGTGGGATTCTAATGCCCGACGTGGGGGGGGCTTGTTGCCCAGGGGCCAGCATCTTATTTTCAGCCGCCCGGGCAGACGTGAGAGGCCCAGGACCGACGTCTCAAGCTGGAATTGCAGTGGGGCGGGACGGATCTTCCCCGCTCCCGGACATTTGCAAAGCGTAGCTGCGCGCCTCACTCGGCTAGAGACGCCACGGATCAGCGCCCGCTGAGACCTGTGCCCGCGCCCGTCCCGAGGGCTGCAGGCCCGGCCCCTCCCCCCCCCCGTGACCGGTCCCTGGGCAGGGGCGTCCTGCTCGCATCAGTCACCGCCTGCAGGGACAGAAGCAAAAAGGGCTCACACACACACATACACACACATATACACACATACACACGTGCAGTGAGATAAACATTCAATAGACTATGTGTGTGCCTGTGTATATATACACACATACATGTGCACTAAGATGTGTGCATATACACACATACACATGTGCAATGAGATAAACATTCAATAGAATATATATATGTCTGTATATACATATACACACATACATATGCACTAAGATGTACATTCAATAGACATATGTGTGCATATACACACACACATACACACGTGCAGTGAGATAAACATTCAATAGAATATTACATGTCTGTGTGTATATATATACACACATACATGTGCACTAAGATGTACATTCAATAGACTACATGTGTGCATATACACACATACACACACATGCACACATGCAATGAGATAAACATTCAATAGACTGTGTGTGCCTGTGTATATATACACACACATACATGTGCACTAAGATGTACATTCAATAGACTACATGTGTGCATATATACACATACACACACATGCACACATGCAATGAGATAAACATTCAATAGACTATGTGTGTGCCTGTGTATATATACACACACATACATGTGCACTAAGATGTACATTCAATAGACTACATGTGTGCATATGCACACATACACACATACACATGTGCAATGAGATAAACATTCAATAGAATATGTGTATGTCTGTGTATATATATATACATACACATACATGTGCACTAAGATGTCCATTCAATAGACTATATGTGTGCATATACACACATGCACAAAATATACATTCAACAGAATAAATGTGTGTATTTATACACACACATATGTGCACTAACATATGCATTCAATACAATATATATGTGCACATATGTGCACACACAAACATGTATAATAGGATATATGTGCAATATGTGTATGTCTGTGTAAATATGTATATACATGTGCACTGAGACATACATTCAATAGAATGTACATGTGTGCATATACATACACACATCCACATGCACTAGGATATACATGCGATAGAACATGCATGTGTATGTACGCAGACACACATACATGCAATGTGATGCATGTGCACACAGCGCTCTGTACCCTCAGGCCCTGCATCTGTGCATTCAACCGACAGAGGACTGAAAATAACTTGTAAAACATGAACACGATAAAAGACAGCACACAGAGATTCAGTGTGACAGCCATGCCCACAGAGTGTGGGTTGTATTAAGTGTCGTACGCAGCCACAGGAGCACTGCATGGTGGTTATTTGCAAACGCTACCCTGTTTTACAGCATGGCTTTGAGCATCTGTGCATGGTGCCATCCTCGGGGGTCCTGGAACCATATCCATACGTGCATAAGGACATTTATTTTAGGAAGTCGGTTCACATGATTGTCAGGGCTGTCGAGTCTGAAATCTGCAGGGTAGCTCGGCGGGCTGGAGACCCAGGCAGGGGCTGACACTGCGGTCTGGACGCAGAATCCAACCTTGCACTGGTTGGATATAGAGACGGATGGATGGGTGGATGGCTAGATAGGAAAGATGGATAGATGCATGGATTGATTGATAGATAAATAGACCAATGATGGATGGATGGTGGATGGATGCATGCATAGATAGAAAGAAAGAATAGATGGATGGGTGGATGGATAGATAGAATTGATGGATAGATTGATAGATGTTAGATATAATGATAGGATAAATGGATGGATAGATTGATAGATAAATAGATCGATGATAGATGGATGGATAGATAGAATAGATGGATGGGTGGATGTTTAGATAGATAGAATGAAAGAATAGATGGATGGATGGATAGATAGATAGAATCGATGGATAGACAGATTGCTAGATGTAAGATACAATGATAGAGTAGGTGGATGGATTGATTGATAGATAAATAGATCAATGATACATGGATGGATGGATAGATATGTAGAATAGATGAATGGATGGATGAATGGATAGATAGATATATAGAATAGATGGATGGATAAACAGATTGATGATGGATGGATGGTGGATGGATGGATACATAAATAGAAAGAATAGATGGATGGATGGATGGATCGAATTGATAGGTAGATTGGTAGATGTTAGATACAATGATAGGATAGATGGGTAGATTCATTGTTAGATAAACAGATTGATGATGGATGGATGGTGGATGGATGGATACATAAATAGAAAGAATAGATGGATGGATGGATGGATAGAATTGATGGATAGATTGGTAGATGTTAGATACAATGATAGGATAGATGGGTGGATTGATTGATAGATAAACAGATTGATGATGGATGGATAGTGGATGGATGGATACATAAATAGATAGAAAGAATAGATGGATGGATGGATGGATGGATGGATAGAATTGATGGATAGATTGGTAGATGTTAGATACAATGATAGGATAGATGGAAGGATTGATTGATAGATAAACAGAATGATGATGGATAGATGTGTAGACGGAAGATACATAGACTGGAGTCGGGGGCTGGCACCTCTGGGAACTGCAGGGCAGGCCAGAAGGCCGGAAACCGAGGCAGAAGCCCATTCTTCAGCTTTGAGGCACGCCCGTCCTCCCTCTCAGGAAAACCTCTGCTTCTGTCCTGCAGGCCTTCGACTGATTTGCTGAGGCCCACCCCGATTACCAAGACTAACCTCCACCACTCGCCAGACCCCGGGCTCTGACCGCCTCCCCCCACCACCACGCCTGCGCAGGACACCCCGCACGCGTGTCCGACTGCACCCCGGCTGGGGAGCCCCGGCCAAGCCCTGCGGACACGGGACGCGGGACACTGACCACCAACCCAGTCACCCTGCCAGGTAGGGCCCCCCAGGTCTGCGGACAGGCCCCTCCCGCCCCCTCCTCCTGACGCCTTGGCCAGAAGAGGGGTGTCGGGGGAGGGCTCTCGGGCAAGGAGGGGCCAGCCCAGCCCCGCACCCCGCGTCTCCCTGCGCCGCCGGCCTCTCTGCCCGCGGCCTCATGCGCAATCGCTGCGCTTTGGCTGACGCCTGGCGGCGCAGGGCCTGGGCTGTGGGCAGACAGACCCGCCGCCACCACTGGGGCTCTGGCGTCTCCCGCGGCTATCACGTGGGTGGACGCGTGGCTTCCCCCACCTACAGATCTCTGCGGGAAGCTCCGGGAGCCGAGCAGGTAAACCAAGGCAAGAAACAAGGCGTGAGGTGCAAACGGTCCTGCTACAGCCGCTCTGGCGCGTTTTTGTCCCAGGCACCAGTGTTTAGCGGGAAACGTGGCCCACCTTTAGCCTTCCCCGGGGCGGGCGCTCTGGTCCTGCCTCAGTTTACCCCTCCTGGGGCATGGGGATATTGCCAGGATTTCAAACACATGCCCGGATTTTTAGTCGTGCAGAGGTACTGGTCTGTCCCACCTGCAGGCAGGCACCAGCCCCTGCAACTCCGGGGATCGGTGTAAAATGCCTTTTAGATAAGTTTGCTGAAACAGGACGGCACAAAGGGCCCTGTCTGGCGGATGCCTTGGGACAACCCGAGGGGAGGCACCTTTGTGAGCCGCTTATGGAGGAAGACTCTGTGGTCTGGGTGGACCCCAGCCCAGGTGGACCCCTGTGGGGATGGGGAGTGTGGGGGGTCCGTGGTCTCCACAGCCCCCTGGAGGTCGGGTGGCCTGGCATAGAAGGGAGAAAGGGAGAGTCCAAAGTTAGGGGGGCCGAGGTCACCTGGGTCCCCTAATCCTGCAGGGACAGTGCCCCTCCTGTAGCCAGAGGATTTATTGGAGCATCTCGACTTCCTCACCATGTGCAAATGAGGAACCGGCTCGAAGCGGCCAAAAACAACCTCTGGAAGATTCGGCCCAGGTGCTCGGTGACCAAAAGCAATGATTGTGCAGCTTGGAAACAATGTTGCTCTCGGGTTTACTCAGCGTGCAACGTTGTAACTGCTGCACTGCAGACTTCCTCATGGGGCCAGTGGGGAAGCCCCTGCACCGGGCCTCACAGCACGCACCCTGCACTTCCAAGTGGAAATAAGGAAGGAGAAAAGGAAGGGGCAGGGGTCTGCTGGTCCTGGTTCTGGTCCCAGCACATGAGTGGAGGCCACGTCACTGAGCTCCCGACAGCCCAGCCCTGGCTGCGGCCGCCTCGTGGGGCCTGGGGAGCCTGTGTCTCCGTGCAGCCGTGTGTCTGGGTGGCTGAGCCCTGCGTGGTTGTTATGTGTCGAGTGTGCGTCTCTGTTCACACCTGAGTTTTGGTGTTGAATGGAACTTGGTGATTTGGTGGGAGAATAGCAGGCAGGAAAAAGGGAGGTAGGAAGGGAAAATGAAAGGAGGGAAAGAGAGGAGGGAAGGAAGGAAGGAAGGAAGGAAGGAAGGAAGGAAGGAAGGAAGGAAGGAGGAAGGAAGGAAGGAAGGAAGGAAGGAAGGAAGGAAGGAGGGAGGGAGGGAAGAAGGAAGGAAGGAAGGAAGGAAGGAAGGAAGGAGAGAAGGAAGGAAGGAAGGAAGGAGGAAGGAAGGAAGGAAGGAAGGAAGGAAGGAAGGAAGGAGGGAGGGAGGGAAGAAGGAAGGAGGGAAGGGAAGAAGGAATGAGGGAAGGAAACAAGGAAGGAGGGAAGGAAAGAAGGACGGAGGGAGGGAAGGAAGGAGGAAAGGAGGGAGGGAAGGAAAGAATGAAGGAGGGCAGGAAAGAGGGAAGGAGAAGGAAAGAAGGAAGGAGAGAATGAAGGAATGAAGGAGGGAAGGAAAGATGGAAGGAGGGGAGGAACGAAGGAAAGAAGGAAGGAGGGAGGGAGGGAAGGAGGGAGGGAAGGAAAAATGAATGAGAGAGGGAAAGAGGGAAGAAGACAAGGAAGGAAGGAGGGAATGAAGGAATGAAGGAGGGAAGGAAAGAAGGAAGGAGGGGAGGAAGGAAGGAAGGAGGGAAGGAAGGAAGGAATGAAGGAGGGAAGGAAGGAATGAAGGA